TAGTTAAAACAAATGGTCGTTTAAAGTCTGGGTATTGGAGTATTGGCTCCGTCGATAATGATTCCTTCAAAGCGTTGAAAGCTGTTTCAGTTTTCTCGTTCCAAATGTATGGCGTGTTCTTTTTCAAAAGCTCTGTCAAGGGTTTGGCAATTTTACTAAAATTTGGTATGAATCTTCTATAGTATCCTGCTAAGCCCAAAAATCCTTTAAGTTTCTGAGTGGTTGTTGGGGTTGGAAAGTTTTTGACTACTTCTACCTTCCTCTCGTCTGGCTTTACTCCTTCACTCGTGATGATGTGTCCTAGATATGATACTTCTTTTCTTAAAAATTCGCACTTATCAGGTTGCAGTTTCAGATTATGCTCTCTCATCCTGTCCAGGACGTCTCTCAATTTATTATTATGGATTTGTAAGGACTCTCCAAAAACGACTATGTCATCTAGGTAAACTAGGCATTTTATACCTTGGATTCCGGTAAGAACGGAATTCATTAGTCTTTGAAATGTGGAGGGGGCTCCCTTCAAACCAAAAGGCATTCTTTTGTATTCGTAGTGACCTTGAGGGGTGCTAAACGCGGTTTTAGCTTGGTCTTCCTGTTTTACGGGTACTTGTAAAAACCCACTTGCACAATCGATTGTTGAAAAATATCTCGAATTTCCTAGGGCATCGAGTACTTCCGAAATGACCGGTATAGGAAAGCTATCACCAATCGTGACGTCATTAAGTTTTCTAAAATCTACTACGATTCGCCATTTCTTTTTACCTGAGGCGTCTGCCTTCTTAGGTACGACCAAAATTGGTGAATTCCATGGGCTATTACTAGGGGCAATAATGCCATCTTGCAGCATTTGTTCAGTCTGTCTTTGTACTTCTTCCTTATGAACTTCTGGAATCCTATATGACCTTGTGTTTATAGCCCGGTTCGGGTTTATCGCGGGAGTAGGAATGGCGTGCTCGGCGGCGGTGGTAAAAGTTAGTTTATCTCCAGGTAAGTGAAATACATCATTGTACTCTTCGCAAATTTTGATAAGGGATACTCTCTCTTCACTGTTTAAGTGATCGGTTCTCAGTTCGTTCCGTAATTTAGCTAGGCGATCATTATCTTCTGCTAACTGGGTAGTAAATATTATTACTGTCTTCTCACACTCGTCGTTATCTATATCTTCCAAAACAACTACAGGGGGTTCAATTGTAACATCTGTCTCTAATGAATTTATTATACTTGTCACGCAGGTCCCATTGATTTCAGTACTCAACGACTCTGCTAAATATACACCGGGTATTAATTCTTTCTTTGAGATTAAACCTTGTCCCTTTGACGGGGTGGGCAGTCTCACTAAATTTTCTGTTCTAGCCTTCAATGTAATTTTAGTCTGTCTGTCCTTGTCCCTCACATTAGGGTCAAACTCGACTGCTACATTGTCCATAGTAATCCTTCTGTCACAGTAGTTTATGTTAGCTCCCTTATCTATCCAAAAGTCACGACCTAAAATTCCATCGTATTGCCATTGAAAATTGTCATTCATAACATGGAACGTATGCGTGGTTTCATACGGTCCCGCGAATAGCCTTAATTCAGTTGTTCCCTTGGTTCTCATGATGGTATTTGAAATTCCCTTAACATTTATGCCTTCACTGCAACTAATCTCTACTTCTGGTTTTAAGCTTGAACTTCTAACTAAAGAGATTTCGGCGCCCGTGTCAATCAAGAATTTCAGTTCATTTGTTTTACTTAGATCAACTCCTAAGGTCATGGTATCCAAATTTGATTTATAATGCTTCTTGCACTCGTTTATTCTAATTTGTGGACAACCCCTTAATTGTTCGGCCGGGCAGTCGTCTGGTTGCTCGACAACTCCCTTCCGCCATTTCCCGAATTAACCCATCCCTTTCCTTGGGATCTACATACATCAGCTGTGTGACCTCTGCGACCACACTTTCTACACGTCCGTCCCTGCGGACAATCTCTTGCGATGTGGTTGCCACAACCGCAATTAAAACAACTCATAGCCTGTACATCGGCCGAAAAGTCTGCGTCGTGTCCCTCACGATCGCAACAACTTGAAACTGCATTAACATTGGGCCTGTCTCTACCGACAACCCTTACATTATTAAAATCACGTCTGTCTCTACCGACAAACCTTACAACATTATCACTGGATCTGTCTCTACCGACAGTCCGTAACTCAGGGCGGGGATAACTGTTTGAGCTCAAACATCTACTGGCCGTGTGGCCGATCTTATTGCACTTATTGCATCTCAAGGGGGGCCCATTAGCTCCGGCGGGCGATCTCTCTTTCATGGAGAGGATAGCGCTCTCCTCTTCCAATGAAATTTCTATAGCCTGAGAGAGGAGGATGGATTCTCCCCTACTACGAACGATAGTTTGAATTCGTTCGCTGTGGAGGCCTTGTACGAAACAAGCCTTCCCTAAGTGATTTATAAGGCCTATGGCTCCCAAAATCTCTTCCGGCTTACAAACTCGCCTGGCAGCTTCCCTTAAGTCGGTCTGCAATTCGTCTATTTTGTTTCCCCATGAAGCTATACTTTCGCTCTTATCCTGACGAGCGTTAAACATTTTACAAGCGTAATAATCTAACGTACGCCTCGTGGCGTAGTTTTCTTCTAAAATACCTTTCACCAGCCTCCAGCTGTGTGTTAGGTCTCTTACCATTAATTTGGATCGGGCATCTCCTGTGATCTTAGCTTTTACAAACTTCAACAATGTGTCGTGTTTACTGGGGTGCACTAGTTCGAAAACAACGTCCACGTTTTCAATAAATTCCCTCAATTTTCGCTTATCTCCATCGAAAGGATGTGTGATTAATCTCATGGCCTCTGAGATGCTACAGTACTGCGCGCCTTCATCGGCGGCAGAGTCAATATCGCTACTGTTATCTGCCTCCATGTCTCACTTATTTGATCTCTGCCCTAAATTTTACAGCGTATTTCAAAATTTAATTTACTCACTTTCTTAACTTAATGTCTGCTCAGTCTAGCTGAAATCAGAGCTCAACCACTGTCCTACAGTTAATTCGTACGCGTTTGGGCGATGTCTTCTTCCCGAAGGAAAATCTTCCTAATTCGTAACCAAAATCTTACAAAATGATATTATTAAAGCTGACTTCCAAGGAATACAAAATTTTTTGAGTGTAGCTTACCCAATTGATGTTCTTCGGGGCTGCGGTTGGCGCAGGGGACGTCCCACGAAGTTCCTGCGAGATGTGGAGATGTGGATCGGGTGCAGCTTCACTAGGCAGGGAAGCTGGTCTCGATGCTCGGTCCTTGGAATGGACACAGGCTTCTTCTTCTCAGATAGGCTCTTCGGTGGCCTCTAGAATTAGTTTTGATGTCTAGAAGATCTCGACGATTGGGTGATTGTGTGATGGTGTTGTCTCGTAGTCAGTCAACCTCCGGCCAGAGCTCGTGGATCCAACGTTAAGCATAACCGGAGTGATGAAAGATGCAGAAGCAACTGATTAATGGGAGAGCAGGTCAGAACCACTACACTCTCCCGCGAAGGGCGAAATTACGACTCTTAGGCAACCTCTAAGAGAGTAATATGATGAATCGTCGAGATGAATTCCTTGAAGTTTCCAATTTACTGCTCGTACTGGTCGGTTGGCTGTGTCCAACCCCACATCTGACACCAGAAATGTTGGTACGACGTGTTGTATCCCTATGATGGTGATGGGATACGAGAGGTTAGCCGAGCGGGAGACTGTTCCTCGTGGTACGTCGGACACTTAAGGATTGAAATCCAAGCCGAACTCGCAGTACAATACAGTGAATATATTTAATATCAATGATGTTGATACAAATGTTGTACAGATCAAGAATGTTGCCTGGATAGAAGTTTTTGAAGTCCCTATGACGGAGCACAGAGACTCAGTGCAGTGTATGAAGTCCGATCCGCGCCCCAAAACATGGTCTTTTAAAGAGGCTAGGATGGGCGTTGGCTGGCAGTCACATGCTATGATTTCACGTGGAGTACATGCTCATAGCAGATGATCCCAAAGTTCCTTGTTCTCTGGTCGACAAACAGGTGTTGCATCATGCGTATTTGTCTCGACCAGTTATCTTATTATAATTATAACTTCCTGTCTGTACAGTCAGACAAAATCATATACATAATGTTAAAGTAATATATATGTATGTTAAGGGGTGCATATATTACACTTTATTCATTGTCCAGAATTCTAGGTAATAGAAGACACGACCACCATCTTGCTTTGTGTTCCATTGAAGAGTACCTATAAATAGATTTGTTCTTTTTACACTATATATAGTTTTTGCTTTCAATGCATTACACTTGATCTGTGTACTGTGGGCCCCACTACTAGCAGATAGATTTGATGGTGGAGGGCTAGAAGGCACTGGTTCTCTAAGAACTGGTCAGTACTGGCATTTGTTCCCTTTTCATTGTTTTATATTTTTGTAAGTGTCCCTGTTTGTAACCACTGGTTCATTAGTAACTATATTTAATAACCATGGCCCTGATGTTGATGACATGTCTTTTTATCCTCCTATCCTGTGTGATGATCGTAAAATTCTAGAAATGTGATTCTAATCCTCTGCATTGTCTGTGTTCTATCCATTGTTTATACATGACCAAACATTATTATACTGATACTCTCCTAGTTTTAACAAATATTGAATTCCATCTTGTTATCTTTTCCATCATTTTTTTCTAAAAAAATGTTATATCCATTGCTTGGATTTTGCTTATGTTTCTCTTTGTAATAGTTCACATTTCATTGTTATGTGTTAAAAGTGTACTTTATGGGTATTTATTTGTCATTGCCTTTGTGTCTGTCAGTTCCATGTTGTTCCTTTTACAATTTGACAGAATTTAAAACTATTTTGTATTCTTCTAAAAGCTAAACAACTTATTTGTAATTAAATGTTGTATTTATCTGCCTTTTTCGTACAAATTAGTTCATTGTTCTAGTCAAATCCTAAATTAATCCAATATATCTGTCTTTTCTGTTCTATATCCAGATGCCTTACCATGAACGAGCAGATCTCCGATTTGTTTGGAATGGACACCTGCTCCGAGAATTTGCAAATCAGCCTGAATTATGCAGGTTCTGCTTACCGTTGTTACATGGTTGTATCCTTTATGGTGTGAAGTATCTTGACTTACTTTATGAAATAAGACGTATGCACGACTTCCAACTGAACAAGTTTACTTAAGCAGAAAATGTTCTGGCCTGTTTTTTTGGGACATACTGTGACCGCTCTTTTTGACCACTGTTTTTGGTTGTGTGTCACTTGTGTGGTCATCTCATCACTGGCTGCTGGAGCTGCTGCTGGTGGGTTGTGGCTACAGCCTACTTAACTCAGCTCACCCATCATCCTTACCACCTCCGATTCTGGTTGTCAGTTAATTAGTAAAGGGTTGGGTGCCAGTAAACTTATTGGAATTTGTAGAATTACTTAAACAGCTTGCTTAAGTTTCCAGATGGAGATCGGATATACTAAATTTTACTCCAAGCTGAATCAGTAGCAATGGCTACTTCCGTGACGTCATGGCTTCCAGCCATATCTCCCACGCTACCCTTCTTCTGAGGTCCTAGAGCATACCCCCTCCTCCTCTTCCCCAATACCGCGTGATTTTCCCACCCTTTCTACCCCTGTGTCTCGGAAATAAGTATGTTTGGGAGCAGAGGAGTTAGTCTGATAAGTGGATCCACTTGGACGAGGACGTCTGGCGGACCAGCGGGAGTAAATTCTAAATTTCAGTTCAGCGGGGTTTTTTCTAAATCTGGTTTCGGCATAGTCGGGGGCTGGCCTCAGACATTGGGGTTACTTGCAGTCGCCAGCTATCGGGATAAGTATGGCGGCGATACACGAGTGGTTTAGTTAGCATTTTTACGTATATATTTTCTATGGGGCCGCCTGTGGCCGACTTGTTTAGTTAGTTATATATATATATATATATTTTCTTGGGCCGGCCTGTGGCTGACTTGTTTTGTTGGATATATTTATTTTCCTTGCAGCCGCCTGTGGCTGATCAGGAAGTGATGTCACTGGGCCAGTGGAACGGGGCATGTCGCTGAGTTGGTGTCATGAAGTGCGGATCAGTATAGGGCAAATCAGCCATGTCTTTTGGGTTATATATTTTGTATATTCTTGTAGTGAGTTATATTGTGTTTGTGTTTATTAAATCTTGTTGTTGCTATTTGGTCAGTCATTAACTTCAGTAAGGCCCTCCGCTGCGAGCTTGGATTCCCTGTGACGACCTTAGGGAGTATTGTAAACATGACACAAGAGCCTGTGACGATGAACCGCTCCTGACTTCACGATGGTTGTAGGTGGTAGGGTGAAGACAGGGGTAGCATCGGTTCAATACAGATTTTGCGTCCGAACAATTGTTGAGCTGGAATACAACTAACTTAACAGAATGACTTCTCCTCAAAACTGAAAAGTCCTGTCTGTTTCATATCGTCCCACAAGTCACCTCCTTAAATTTTGAGGATTGGTCAAATTTGAACAAGAGGAGTTTACTTCATTTGCTATTTCTCCAGTCAGTTCCAAAATTCAAGGGAATTTGGACTGTCATGACTTAACATAATTTTTGACAGTCGTTTGATGAATTCTACCCGTAGCGTAGGCTCGGGGCCTTCCCACTTTTGACGTATGGTGTCCTGGACCTGTCAGAAATCGTATTCTCAAAGAATTCCAGTGAGCAAATTTTGAGTAGAATTTCTGGGAAAAAAACTGCAGGGGTCCTTCCTGTTTCTCTCTTTGAACCTATGTAATGAGCCGCTTTCTTAAATTCAAGTATTGGACTAAGTTGCCACCTTTAGAGTAAGAATTGGCCTATGTCCCTCTTGGATCATCATTGTTCATGCAAGTAAATATCTTCTAACAAAGCGATTACTACTAGTAAATACATGTTCCAAATTTAAAACTGGTATGGGATTGACGGTACAGTTACAATACCCAGTTCTGATTTCATCAAGGGCACTAAGTATCCTGACTGAGATTTTTGTGGGTTTCCTCTCTGTTACAGGATACCTGAGCATTACAGAAAGGTATTCCAGATTAGTCCATGACCTTTTTGCACATTCATTAGTTACCATTTGATGCTGTATAAGTCGAGTGTGGTTTTTCTGTACACAGCAAAATAAATATAATTGTCCTGCTCTGTTTCTACCATTACAGTACATGTAGCTTGAAATCTTGTTATTTTTCAGATTTTGTAAACTTTTTCAATGCATATGACATTTTTCATCAGCCCATTTTTACACTTTTCCAAAATTTTCAGTCTTGAATTTATATTAAATAAAGATTAATTTTGACCTGGCTTTTATCTAAGTCCACAAGCCCATTTAGTGATCAACATTTTTTTATGTAGCAGTTGCATAATCAGTTGATACTAACAACAGAATGGTTGTATTTGTAAACTATATTCCTTTCTTAAGGATAAGAGTAAGCTTATGAGAACATCATGCTGTCTGTGTGACTGTTCATTCCCCACATTCAGTTTTGGAAGCAGTTGGTTGATCTTCACATTGTCATTGGTGGCCACTCTTAACACTTTACTGGTTTTAATTTCCTGCAGTCTCTCATGGCAGATGTGTAAATGTATAAGATGGGACTGACAGTGGCACCACTCATGAAGTAATGCATTATAATAGGTCTTTGAAGAATATGCAAGACTTGTTGCAATAATTTTGTTTGTATATTGTTAACACCTTAACGTGGCAACCACATGAGTATTTTTGTTCACTTTTCAGTTTAGCAGCAGTCATTAATGCAACATTCTAGCTAAGAACGTGAAATTTTGTACAAAGATATTGTCACATGTCAAGGGTTTCATGACTAATAGTAATGGGATTTGGATTTGTTGATTGATTTTATTGGTGCCTTCTTTACAGTCTGTCTTAATCACAATGAATTACAATAATTCACAGTCAGTCTCTATCCAAACCCTTCTTCCTTGGGTGCTGAGGACTCACCCCATTCTGATTCTGTTCTGTACCACTTATATAGTCTCAACACGGACCCCACGGAAAACACTGCCTCTGAACAATTCGCAAGGGTGTTTATGGCACCATTGCCTAGAAATGGACGTCCTGTTGTTCCACAGTACGCTTCTGCGGGAACATGTTTAGTGACCCGTTACCTATCAATGTGCATGGTGCAGACCACATATAAAACACTTCTTATAATACCATATTGTTGCATGTTCTTATTTAACCCGTTGCCGTGGTTCGTCGTGTATGTTTCGTCAGGGATTTAAATCGTCTGGGGGGGTTCGACGTGTATGTTTCGTTCAGCTGCACACCTATGTTATAACGCCCATAATAATTGATGGTTTTGCTGTAGATTGTTAGATTTTTCGCTGGCCTGTTGTCAGTAGAACAGAGTATAAATAAGACACGACTTTATCTGTGCCAAGTCATCGTTACATATGCCTGTCTTGCAGCAAAGTTCCTGTGGTTCTGGGGAGCGGTTTGTAGCTGTACTGTTATGAAGGCGTGTTTTTCTTTGCTTCGAAGATATAAACAGAAGAGACGTGATGTTTACTGTTGTATATGATATCATATTACCCTGAGCTGGCCACATTGACACACTCAACTGAAATTCTTAGAATAGGGTTGTCCAGTAATTTATTCTCGCATTATCCATTGATTTCGCACAGTACAAAGGCCCAGTTCTGAGAAAAACGCCACAATTTAAGGCAGAACACTGTGGTCACCCCCTGAGACGATA